GTGGAGGAGTGCGCGCCGCGGTGACTCTTCTCTCTACTGAGGTCTTTGAACGCACCGCGGCCCGCCCTCAGGGGAGGGGGGCCGTGCGCGCCGTCACAATGCCCTCTCTTTGAAACGGACATTATGGGGAAAAGTGGAATTGTGGAGAGAGATGACTCTTACTCTGGGATAAATGCAACCGTGTTTACTGAATGCATTTTCCCACACACACACACCACTCCAGAACTAGAGTTTACAAACAAAACCACCGTTCTCCTGCGGAGATCCCTGAACGCACCGCGGCCACTCTTACGAGGGCCGCGCGCCCACGTATTAACGCTGTATTTCCCATTCAACGGTGAAATGCATTAATCGGAGCTATTATACCAGGCAAGGTGTGTTTTCTGACAACAGCACGCCGGCAATAGCGTTTCTTGAACCCGCACAGTGCTTTGACAGCACTCGGTTTATCCCACTCACGTGCACATACCCACCTGCTGGCTCCCTATACTGGGGTTTACAGCAGAGGCGGGGAGTGTAGGACAGTGTTTCTTCCTCTGGGGATGGGCAAGAAGCAGCCACGCTGCGATTACTCCTTATCCCGTGAGCAAGGAGATCGATCCAAAGAGCCCTTCCGTAAACACGGGGGCTCCCAGGAGATCAACACGGTCCTCTTTGGAAAGTGCCATGCGGCGTGATATCCCAGGGACATCACACGGCAGGCAGCGGCGGCGGCGGCCTGTGATGAAGTAGGGTCGCCCCTATATCATGTGAAGCCACCGAGCACCGGTCCCCCAAAGGGAACCGGGCCTGGGGCAAGGCCCGTGGACCAAGCTACTTATTCGGCCTTGCGGCCCAATAATCGCTCTGACCTTGTGAGGCGGGGGCATCTCTAGCAATGAGCGAGTAGCCCACACACCCGCCGCCATGATCATCATCCAGGGAGAGTACAGCCCTGGGCGGTGGACTTCCATGGACGCCGGACCCGGAAGGAATGGCGAACGTGAATTGCACCTATCATGCAAAATGCACTTTTGTACGTCTTTTATACATGAATATGTGTCCCCGGTGTTCCAGGGAACTCACCAAGTGTCAGAAAACACAACCCTCTCTATTTTCCTCCATACTCAAATCTCTAAAAAAGGGGCTGCAACGGATCTGATAAAAACTGATCCAGATTTCAACACTTCACTGACGTCAGGACAGTGGCGCTACGGCTATTGGGCCAACTCCACCAATCAGGAGGAGACAGCCACGGCCATTGCCGTTTGAAAGCGCTGGAGACGCTGTAGTACATATGCCAGGCCTGTAGGTGGTGCTATTCTCGCAGAATCAGCCCTTGCAAAAACAGAGCTAACATTTTTCAAATTGAGCGAAATGAGGCATGGCTAAAATCAAGCGGCAAACTCAGGGGAAGAGCCGGGACGCCAATACGGAAGTGCCACAAACAGCAGTTCATATATTGGCCGATAGGCGATGACTGCAGAAAGGAGCAATTTCCATAGACCCCAATGTTAAAATGCCCAATTTCACAGCAGAAAAAAACGTTTCTAGCCCTGGCTCCAATACATTTTATTATGGATATAGTTAGATTCCACCTTCGTGATTATGAATCTGTGAGTGAATTGTTTTCTAACGCGACCCTTTTATTTATATTAGGTCTTAAAGTTTTTGCATAAATTAGGGCGTGGTCACTTTGATGGACAGGTACGTGCCTCACTGTCAGCTAACAGCAATTTGTCCACTCTGCTAGGCTACAACGTTAGTTAGTTGTAGTTACTGTACTTGACCCTTTAGCCGTGTTCGTGGTGATTGTGCCTTTTAGGGAATATTGTTACAAATACCAGACAATTAAAATGTCGTGCTGTGCGCTTGAATGTATTAACAGACCTTCCAAGAAGTCTACTCTCAGCTTTTTTCGTTGAGTAAAATGATAATATTATACATGTTAATCCCGTTAGCAGGTGTTTGTGTGCTTGTTAGCTTAGCTTGTTATGTAGCTTATTATGTAGCTTATTAGCCAGCTAAGGACGTAACCCTTTATACATGTGTATATATATATATACAGTTTAGTTTATGATTCAGCCTTTTATAGTATATGGCTGTGACGCCCATAATGCTAAACGGGAGCAAATGTTAAAAGGGGACCCAATTATCCCAGTGGTGGCCGCCGGAGTCCACGCCGGCCGAAGCTAACGGAGCCGCAGGGGGCTAGCTCGCTAGCGCGTCCCGGCGGCTCCGTTAGCTTCGGCCGGCGGCGGAGTCCGGCATTATAATTGGAGATCAAGGAATGCAGCGAAACGCAGACTTGGTTCGCCTGCAGCCCGCTGTAGTATTAGCTAAATAAATTATGTTGAACAAGGCTTATTAAGCTGAACATCGCCACAATTGTTCTGCTATGTATCAGTACTTATTTTATTTTATTAACGTGTGAATGACAAGCATTACAAATAACAACAAATAGCTCATTATCTTGCAGATTGTCTCGTTTGATTATGAATGTAACGTTTTATATAGTGGAACTACACTGTTTTATCAAAACCAAAGTGCCACGCAGTAACTTGGTATGCATGTATTTCAGCAGGAAATGTGCAACCTAGATGACATTTACCAACACAGACTATATAGAAATATTTGTAAAAGTTGTTCATGCGTTATTAAGTGAATATGGCATTAACCCTCCTGTTGTCTTCGGGTCAAATCTGACCGATTTACTACTTTCATCAATCATAACTTTTTTGTTTTACATTCGATTGCATTAAGGATTTATGATATCCTTCACAGTAGACATTTGAACATATAAAATTGCTGATTGACCTTGTCGTGGTGAGTGGGCTTTAAACTAAGACGGGTCATACTGAATAGTCTGTGCACACATTTTTAACATGTGATCTTTCTTTCATGTAGGACGCTTGAGGGAAGTTGCAACGCCTCGGCCAATGTGATGTCTTCCCCACGTGAAAGAGATTGAAGGCATAATTTATAACTTGAGACAATTTTCCAAAAGTTATGACTTTTATTGGCTTAGGTAGTAATGGATTATATCCAACACGAATCAAGATCGTATAGAAAAAAAGGAAAGTGTAATCCTTAGTTACATAGGAAAAGATGTAATCGGATTAGTTTGACTTTTTTTAATAATAGGGAAACTCAGGATTACAATCTTATTCAAAACCTGAAAAGAGCATATAGTGTTTGTTGTAAAATGATCAGATGTTCTCTCTTCTCTGGAAGCGGTACTGTTCTGTAGGCTAATACTTTAATTGTGAATCTATACACCTACTGCCTGAGTCAGCTTTATGTATATTATACATTTAAGTAAAAAAATCATATTAATATTTCTTCTCTCCTGTGTTTATTTGCATTGCATTTGATATTGAGGTAATCCAAAAGAAAAATAAAGTTATCAGGTTACAGTACATTACTTTTATATCTTGATACTCACATTAAGTTACTGGTTGCGTTTTTGGCAAGTAGCCCTCCCAACCCTGTACATAAGTTATATCATTTTAATTACTGATACAGTTGTTGCACATCTTTAATTTATTTTCTAGTGTACTTAAGTCGTACATTTTCAATGTGAAATAGATCGGATTAAATATAGAGTAAAAGCACAATCTTAAATTATACATTTATAATTTTCCTATGCTTATTGTTAATGTAGTGGTGTTATAAACAAAATGTTGTCGTAAAGGAAATTAAGATGTTTTTTATTTGTTGACAAAAGATTTAAAGTTGATGCTCACAACATGTGGGAACATTTATTGAGAAAAATGTTTCTATTGTAAAACAAATAATTATCTGCATACTGAACAATTTAGAAACTCTCTAAAAGGTATTATTTTCTGTGATGTTACGACCCTGTAGGGATTGTGGGTATTGCATTTCATAATTACATTCTATGGTATGCTTATGACATATTTGATGCCAAAATACATGGGATTAGGGGAGACCTTCTTGGTGTTTGCATTGTCACTGATAAATGACAAGGTAGTATTCATTGTCAAGATTTTGTGTTTTTAAACTTGGGACTCTTTTCAGACTGCTACGGCTTGGGAAAAGATTTGAGCCTTAATGTGTAATGTTTTCTGTATTGTATGGTTAGCTTATCCTTTCATTTGATAGTCAGATTTGGATGTGATTGTAACATTTTCAGTAAGCAGTAGACAAAAGAAGTGAAAATATGAATGTGATTTATTTTAAATATTTACAGAATTATTTTAACAAATAAAATAACAAAAAACATAATAACAAATTTAAAAAAAAAGTTTGACAGACAGCCATGCCCAGCATGGGCCTGGAGAGCTACAGAGTCCATTGGGGGAAGAGGGGGGGGTGGGATGTGGGGAAGAGGAAGAGCAGCCATGTTAACAGTGTTATGGCTACAGATGTAATATCTAACTCAACATTAGCCATGACAGTCTGGGCTTAGCAAGGGCCTTAGAAAACATACTCTAAAGGGCAAATCCAAAAACAGTGATACTGACATTTTAGCAGTTCACAGTCTTTGGAGATGGTCTTTCAGGCAATTGGCTAGTGACTTTAAAAAAATATAATTTCCCCTAGGGGTGAAATGAACTCTATCTCGCAAAAAAAGCCCAGGACTGTCATGTCTAATGTTGGAGTGGTCAACAATGGCACCATTTAGGCTATGAACAAAAGTAGCCATAACACTGTTAACAAACTTCCGGGCCTTGTCAATTTTGACAGGATTTGCACCAGCCCTCCATCGGCACCTCTGGTTGATCTGGGAGAGCATGATCTTCATGCCAGGGTGCCGATGGTGAAGCTGGTGCAGGTCCTCCTTCATCTGATTCACCAAGTGAACACTGGGCACATCCCCCAAGTCGTTGCCGCCACAGTGGATGAGGAGGACATCCGGGGCTGTTCTTCCTCGCAGGGAGTTGGAAAAGAAGGGGAGGAGACCTCTCCAGCGCAGTCCACCCCAACCGAACCAGCAGGCGCGAAGGTCGAGGCCAAGGTTGCTGCCGATGGTCTCTGTAGCTCTCTGGGCTCCACACCGGACATAGCTGTCTCCGATTATCCATACAGTCACTATGGGAGGAAAATAAATGAGAGTAACAAATGCTTCAGATAATGAGGAATATCAAATTAAGTATAAAGGGTTGCTCATTTTGTTCCTTTGACAATAACATACAACATAACATATGAAATCACACCTGACGTGTATATATATATATATATATATATATATATTAGGGCTGTCAGTCGATTAAAATATTTAATCGCGATTAATCGCATGATTGTCCATAGTTAATCGCGATTAATCGCAAATTAATCGCACATTTTTTATCTGTTCTAAATGTACCTTAGAGGGATATTTTTCAAGTTTTTAATACTCTTATCAACATATGAGTGGACAACTATGCTTTATATGTTTGTTTATTATCATTTGAACAATGACAAATATTCTCATGAATATTAAACACAACAACCTCTGAACATTACAAATATTCGCCTCAATTCAACCTAGAACCTCTCTCATACAATAATACAATACTGTGTGTGTGTGTGTGTGTGTGTGTGTGTGTGTGTGTGTGTGTGTGTGTGTGTGTGTGTGTGTGTGTGTGTGTGTGTGTGTGTGTGTGTGTGTGTGTGTGTGTGTGTGTGTGTGTGTGTGTGTGTGAGAATGTGGAGACACTGTGATGGATTGTTGGAGCTATGTGCAGCTCAAGGCATATATGCCTGTGTGTATGAGCTGTGTTGCGCGCACTATCCGTGCTGAGTGTGCTGTCTGGCTACCTGCATAAAGTCAAGTGCTCGGCGCAGCTGTCGGCGAAATGTCGCTCCTCTGTTTTCATTGAAACAGCTCCTTATATCCGTTAGCTCAGCTAGCTAGCACCAGATGCTAACAACAACACGTAAGGTGTGCTTCGCTCGCGCCACACATACACACACCCTCCCGGTCCTCCCGATGGCCAGTCCGGGCCTGCCGGTGAGCGTGGAAGTGTGGTCTGCCACAAGCGGGCAGCAGGAGCGGGGCTGTCAGCATCAGCTTGTAGATGGTATTTTAAACTCGATGCGCTCTGAAACTACGGCGGCCGAGGACAAAAAATACACATGCGTTAATCGCGTTAAAATAATTAGTGGCGTTAATTTTTTTTTGCGTTAATGCGTTATTAACGCGTTAACTTGACAGCCCTAATATATATACATATATATATATATGTATATATATATAGTATGTTTGTGTGCAATGTCAACCATCTGAAGTCATGTAAAGTAAGCCAGGACCATCAACTTACAGGTTGTGGAGGAGGTTGCCATCTTTTTTTCTTAATGCTGAAAGAAATAAAAATGGTTTAATCAATATAAAAGCGCCTTTCTTTTTCTACAGTCATATTTAATTTATACTCTCACAGCGCTGTTGAAACAGTAACGTTGGATTAAATGTATATACAATTGATGGTCAAAAAGTATAAATATGCAAATTTTGCATTTGTTAGCCCATGCATATTACACTGTTTATATTTGAATCATGGACAAGCGTTTTTAAACTTGTATAGTGTAATATCAAGAACAGTTAAATCATAGGGAAAAGCTTTGTTTAATTCACAATACGCTAATTCCTTTACATACTGTATAGGCCACAGTTTATGGCTAATTCCATAGGCTAATTCACGCAACACTGGCCATATCTCTGCTAGTTTACAAAGTTGTTACAAATGACATTTATATTTGAAAAACGGTGAAGCACTTAAAAAACAATTGTATAGTGTAGGTTCAAGAACATTTAAATCAAAAGGACAAGTTTTGTAAAGTTACAGGGGATCTTACCTTCAGAACGCCGGGAACGAGGAGCAGTGACCGGAAGCTGGGTTGTTAGCTTAATACTGTGAGCATGTTAGCTTAGCTTCTTAGCCTGAGCTAGGTCTGAAACTTCACGGCCGTTGGCAGAAGGTCCCGCCCTGTCCCGCCTCCTCTCCGCCACGGCTCCGCCTCTTTGCCCTTATTTGGATCAGGATGTAGCAGGCGGGAGTTAGACTCTGACGCCACTGTCGAGCCGTTAGTGGCCGACTCCGCCTACTAAGGGCTTCTCGGCAACTCTGCAGAATCCTATGGGTGACGTCACGGACCCTACGTCCATTTATATATACAGTCTATGGCTAAAATGCATGATCTGTTTGGTATTTTGAAAAAAAAAAAGGTATAAATATGCCTTATATAGGTATGGTCCTACACTATATTATTCAAATATAGCATGATAGGTCCACTTTAACAAACGACAACCCCCCGGTCTGGAGAGAGATGGAGACCCAATTTTTAGAGTTACCTCTTCTCATGTATTTGTACTCAACTAATGTGAAGAAACTTGAAAAAAAAAACACTAACGCTATTACTAGGAACATGATCAGAGTCTGGCATGATGTGAGGAAGTACTTGGGCGAACCTCTCTCTCTCTCACGTTTTAGTTCAATTTGGGGAAATTATGACTTCATTCCAGGCAGAGCTGATAATGGGTTTAAAATTTGGTCAGATAAGGGGGTACAGAAAATTCAAGATCTATATAGGCTCAATGATGATAATCTGATGTCGTTTGAGGAGCTTGCAATTAAGCACAACATTTCACGGAAACATTTTTTCAATTTCTTACAAATTAGAAGCTATATTGGAGCAAACCAAAAACAATTATTAACTATACCTCCATACTCACCTCTAGAGAAAATAATGTTAAAGGACTGTAGGGGGAAAAAACTAATTTCTGCACTTTACAACTTGCTTATATCTGGCTCCCCTGAGTCATCCGAAGCTAAACTTAGGAATTGGAGGGAGGATTTGCAGGAAGACATTTCGATTGATGAGTGGGAAGGTGCCTGTAAGAAAGCTCAATCACAAACAGCGAATACCCGTCTTAAGCTCTTACAATATAACTGGCTGATGCGTACATATATTACCCCAGAAAAGCTAAACAAATGTAATGGTAATATCCCGGACTTATGTTTTAAATGTGGACAATCTAAGGGAACATTCTTTCATTGTGTTTGGGAGTGTACCAAGATAAAAACGTTTTGGGAAGAGGTAAAATGTATGATAGAAGAGATTTTATCATTGCAGTTAATCATGGAGCCCAAGTTTTATTTGTTAGGGTGTTACCCAAAAGAACACAACATAAGTAAGAGAGAATGATTAATGTTCCTCTGCTGGGAGAAGGATAAAAGCCTTTCCTATCTGCCTTCATGTTTGTATATTTCCTTACTTAGCCTACCCACGTGTTTGTGAAGTTAATTTTATTTATTTATTTTATTTATGTGACTTGTAATGTACTTTAATTTGGTATGTCTTGTGGATGTTTGTGTACTGTCTTATATATTGTCTATATATGCTTAAACAATAAAGAAAGTGTTTGTAAAAAAAAAAAAAAAAAGAGATAAACAAAAACAGAAAATAGGGGGGGGGGGGGTGGTCAGTGGTTGAATGCAGTGTTGAAAAGGTGGGTTTTGAGTGATGTTTTGAATGCGGTGAGGGAGGAAGAGTCTCTGATGGATGGAGTAGTGGTGTTCCAGAGGGTGGGTGCAGCAACGGAGAAGGCTCTGTCGCCCCAGGACTTGAGGTTGGTCCGGGTGGGGGGGACAGGAGGTTGGCAGCAGCAGAGCGGAGGGAGCTGTGGGAGTGTGTCTGTGGAGGAGGTCAGTCAGGTAGGATGGGGCCAGGTTATGGAGGGCTTTGTATGTCATCAGGAGGATTTTGTACTGAATTCTCTGGGGGGTGGGGAGCCAGTGGAGCTTGATGAGGACGGGGGTGATGTGTTCACGGATTCGGGTGTGGGTGAGTAGACGGGCGGCGGAGTTCTGGATGTATTGGAGTTTGTTGATGATTTTTGCAGGTGAACCATAGAGGAGGCTGTTGCAATAGTCCAGACGGGAGGTGATGAAGGCGTGGAGGGTTTCTGCAGATGGACGTAGACAGGCGATGTTTTTGAGGTGGAAGAAGGTTGTCTTGGTGATCTGTTTGATGTATTGGTTGAAGGAGAGGGTTTGGTCAAATAATAGGATCATTGAGCAACATAGGCCTACTACTCAGCTGGGTGATTATTGGTTATTCATTAACCTGTTAAGCCCTGAGCCTGTTTTTCAGGTCTCAGGCTCGAAAATGACATTCCCAGAACAAATGACCATATCTTCCCTTCTAAAAGGGTTAAATTAATAATATTTTTTTTCTCAAAGTAATGATAAACCTGTGAGTTGGATGTAGAAAAGTCAGAATCAATATAGATGTTTTTTATTTTAAAGAAAATTCAGATTGAACATAGTAAAAAACTGTAAATTATAGTGTCCGTCCAAAAATTATTTTTTACTTATAGTGAAAACTACCCTTTGATGATGGGTTATATTGATTACTTGTGATCTTCTCGCTCCCAGGAAAGAAACTTAAAATAATGAGACTAATGGAGTCTCTGAAAAGGTTTAGATGAGTAATTTAATGAAGTAACGTCGTTATAGAACAAGCATAAGGTAAGGAAGAGACAAAAGCCGGTGTTGTCCCTCGGGAGGCTGCAGCGAAGAAGAGAGACCGTGATGCCTTCTGCGATCTGCTTTATACTCCTCTCGTTCTCTCCCGCTGTGTAGTTTGGGGGACCGCCCTCCACTGTCTTCAATGTTCGACATCGCGTGAAACAGAGGATTTCAACATTTTGTATTCATTGCTTACTTCCATAAGCCTTTTCTCCTCCTTATCTCTTTCATGACTTTTTATTTAATGCTTTATAACAGCTGTAATAGTTAGTTTAGAAATCCTAGAAGCACTTTACGACACAGTTCTCATTTACGGTAACTCCTTCTGACGTCATAGCTCCCCACGCATGTGAACAAAACTTTACAATCAACTGAACCTTCATTTAATATTCAGCAGTAATAATATCTCAACGTCTATAGATGTAATGTTAAAGTCAGTAGGTTTTGGTGTGCAACACTCCGTGTCATTTTTACTTCACATTCAGAAAACGTAATATTAGCCACATGCTAAATACTAACCGGAGATGAAGGATTTTCAGAATAAAAGCTTGTGGTTGAGCTTTAAATCTGATGGTATGTTTAAACAAAATTGTGCCATAAAACATTGATTTTAATTTCTAACAGTTAGTAGACTAAAAGCTTTAGGAATCCAAAGTACAACATATAATAAGTACCCTGTATCAAGATTGATGCAAAACAAGTTAAATCTGACCTTTTTAGAGAGATTTAGCACAAAAAAAACACTTCTGCCTACGTCAACCACCTCCCCTCCCTTCAAGAAAGCATCTGCAGTCTCCGAAGCCTGATAAGGATGTGTGTGTACAAAACACAACAAACTCTTACTGATATGTGCTGGGTCCAGGCTCAAGGGCGTATGGCACTCTCAACTCTTTCCGGCACATGCCGGGGCCCTGCCTGCCAGTAACTTTGCCGATATCTGTGTTGATAGATTAAGAGCGGTGAATCAGCTTAGAAACAGGTGCTCAAACGTTTGTGTGAGGTTATCAAATTTAGCAGTGATTCCATGTCAGCCACAGCTTGTCACAAAAAATCTTACTTATAGTGTATTTAACAAACTTAAACTAGCTTTATTAAATGTCAGGTCTTTGGCAGGAAAAACATTTTTAATCAATGATTTTATCACTGAGCACAATCTCGATTTTATGTTTTTAACGGAAACTTGGATTGAACAAAATAACAGTGCAGCTGTTCTTATCGAATCAACCCCTCCCAACTTTAGTTTTATGAGTCAGGAAAGAATGCATAAGAAAGGGGGTGGAGTTGCTATTTTGTTCAATGATTCCATTCAATGCAGGAAGACATCTTATGGGGACTTTGCTTCTTTTGAATATGTGGCCCTTCAGCTGAAATGCTCCTCTCGAGCTCTGTTCCTAAATATCTATAGACCACCCAAATACTGTGCAAGCTTTTTTGATGACTTTACTGAACTGCTGTCTATAGTGTGTATTGACTTTGACCGTCTAGTCATTGTTGGTGATTTTAACATCCATGTTGACAACCCCCAGGACAGAGGGGCTAAATAACTGTTTTGTGTTCTTGATAACTATGGACTGACTCAGCATGTGGCGGAGCCCACGCACAATAAGGGGCACACTCTGGACTTAATTATCTCAAAGGGTCTGAATATCTCAAAGGTTGTGGTGACTGATGTTGCACTCTCTGATCATTCCTGTGTTTTCTTTGAGAGCTCTATTTCTGTTCACAAAAATGTTCAGAAAGAGGTAACCACAAAGCAATATTTAACTGAAAATACTAGGGAAATGTTTACTCATAATTTTTCATCCACACTTGCCCCTGCTAACATCTCAGTAAATGAGCTAGTAGATCATTTTAATTCAAAAATTAAAAATGTTATAGATACCATTGCTCCAACTAAGGTAAAGGAAGTGATTGGCAAGAAAATATCTCCATGGAGAAAGACCATGACCGTGAGAACAGAAAAAAGAGAGTGTCGAAAAGCTGAATGTGTGGTGGCTCTACTCTTCAGCCACCTCCCTTGTGAGTGCGTGTTCCCTTTCCCTGTCTGTGTGGGCGTGGTGGCTGTCACTCCTGGCTCCCGGCTCAATCTCCACCTGCTGCAATCAGCTATACACACCTGATTCCCATCAGCCATTTACTAATGGCATATCAGCGGAGGCTCCACAACATGTCAGCGCCAGATCGTTGTTTAAACCCCAGTGGTAACTCTCAGCCTTCTTAGCCTATTTAAGCTATTTCTCTGTACACTGAATGCTTTTCTCACCTGTTTCTCTTATGCTCCAGGATCACTCTCCAGCCGCCTTGTTACCATCACCTGCCGCCACCAGTCATCATTCCAACCGGATTACTCTCCACGCTCACCAGTCATCATTTCTACCGGATTACTCTCCACGCTCCTCCACCTCACAATAAACCTTTTTCCAACACTCTGCCGTG